CATTGCTAAAAGTGGCAAGCCCAGAAACACAGACGTTACAATAATGAAATGAAGCTAACGTGCTTCCACCAAACTAGTAACCGACTAAAAGATGGTGGAGACTTATTCATCTAAACTAGTGGGTCCTAAACTACTGCAACCATTACTGAATTTGTAGCTTTACTTCCAAGTCTTTGTTAGTCATGGTAACGGATGGGTCGACGTGTGTCTCTCTTGGGTCGTACGTGGGTCGTGCTCGTATCACTCTGGTTCTTACTAGGTATCAATTGGTGGTCGGGGAAATAAATTCATAACCATAATTACCGTACATCGGAGCCCTTCTAAGATCAGGTATCATCGTTGTTGTATTTTTTAGGGTTTTTAAAGATGGATTTTGAGCAAATTGATCACCAAGTAATGGGTTTGACAGATTGTGGTGATAACAAGGAGCTCCACAAGTGTTGTTAGTATTTCTAGATAGATTGCCAGTGTTGCTAAGGAAGTCCATATTGCATATTGGTCAATCTCTAATGACGGAAGTGATGCAGGTGTTGATGGTGGAGACGTTAAACAATGAGGGGTGTAGGTTGGGTTAAAGTAGAGGTTAAAGGTATGGGTGGGGTTAGTTTAAATGTGAAGGGTGTTTAGTATCTGATCTGTTTATTTTTTATTTTTTAATATAAACAAATTAAAAAGAAACCAAAAAAGAAATAGAAAGGGCAATTTTGTCTTTTTAGGTATGGTTAACGAAACCAAGGATGAAACCTATATCTTTTAAACATATCAGCGACAATATGAATTAATTTTTGAAAATAAGAATTGAACGTATATTTTGATACCTGCACGAGGGACGGTTTGTGTAATTTACTCAAAAAAAAAAAAAACTTAAATGCCCAAATTAAAATATACTCTATATTTTTTGATAATATCAAAAAAATATCAAATTGTTGAAAATTAAAACAAAAAAAATAAAAATAAAAATAAATAAATTACGAAAAAAATAACACCTAGTTTAGTTTTGACAAAAAAAAATTGAAATTTTGAAAAGAAAAAAAAAACTAAGAACACTTAGTTTTAATTAAAAAAAATCAAAGTTTGGGCTCTAATTTAGCTTGATAAAAACGTAACACGTAATTTAGTTTTCCCTTTCATGCGAACATACTAGTACCATAAACATCTTCACTAACATACACCTTTTGTTTCAATTTTGTAGACAAAAAAGAATCATTCACATTGATCATTGTCCAACCATAAAATATGGTATCAACAAATTTTCATATGAATTCGACAATGAAAATAAGAGAATCATAACTGGATCTTCATCTTCGATCTTTACATCAATTCCTTGTAAATCCAATATGATACTATTGAAGTTATCAAAATGATTAACTACTTAGGCACTTTCGGATACATGTCAGTGAGTCTCTCCCAAAGCTCAACAACATAAGTTTGATCTACAACCTCTGCAATACTTCGTCCATTGTATAACATCCTAAATTTTCAATCAAAATTTTCTTTTAAAATAAAGAGTTAAACAATACTAAAAACATTTCCACTAAAGATTTAGAGTAATCAATTGTTTAAAAAGTCCATAAGACATAGAAATAAACATAGTCATAAAAAACGTAAGTCTCAACATAATATCAGACATCCATGCGGGTGCAATACAGTGTGACAACCCGAAACTTCACTTTGGTCAAACCCTAAAAGTCAACCCCCTTCTTATCATAAGTTAATGTAATTATTTCTTATTTTTAAGAAATTTAATGTTCGTTTGATTATTTTAATATTATTTTTAAACGAAAGGGTGAAAGAAAGTGTCGTCTCGGGTTTTGATTTTTAGAAACCGCAAACACCCCGTGTCTTAGAATTTCCCGGCCAAACTATTACGTTTGGGTTGAAAAATCCCCCAAAAACCGTGAAATCATATGTATGAGTTTACTCCCCAAGACTAGCTATTATGTGTTTACTCCCCAAGATCCCAAAAGAGTAAACTCCAAAATATCCTTTCAACTATCATCCTAGATTTTGTTCTAGATCTTCAAATTAGTAAGTGTTCTAACCATTTCAAGTTGGTTTAATGCTTAATCTAGGGTTTGTGCATCTATTCATCCAATCATTCATGTATTTTGGTTAGATTTCCAAAAACACCAAGAACACACACTAAGTGTTCTTGGACTTTTAGCTCAAATCAAGAATCCTAACAGTAAGTACTTCCATCATTGAGTCTTCTTTAACTAGTATTACATGTAAACATCAAGGAAATATGCCAAGAACACAAGGCTTGGGGTGTTCACGGTCCAAGAAGGTTCTTGGGCCGTAAACACCAAAGACGACACCAAACTGTGCCTAAGTCTTTATCTAAGCCCTAGTTTGATGTTTAATCTTTCATTGACATGTTTAAACCTTTCATGGATGTGTATAAGCCTTGAAAATCACCAAAGATCACCATTTTTAGGTGTTTACGGTTTGGGGAGCTCCCAAAACCGTAAACACCCTAAAGTAACTTTAAATGGGTCAAAATCCTTCCTTAGGCCTAAAGACTAACCTAGACAATTTCCTAGTTGTGTTAAGGACTAGAAAACATGGCAATACCCTTTTCCATAAGGGTTTACAGTAGTAAACCCAAAGGGAAATGGCCATGAGGCCATAAACTCCTCCAAGGAGTGTTTTTGTTGCCCTAGTCCTTTCCAAAGGCCAAACCACCAAGTACAAGTGCATCAAAAGACATGTAGAACCTCAAAACAACCCATGGTTACTAGGAGTAGAGTTTACGAGTGTAAACCCTTGAGTTTACTGCCGTAAACTCCATGGGTTAAGGTCATCAAAACCATAAACTCCAAAGGAGTTTACCCTTAAACTCCAAACACCCTAGTTTTGCCCTACCAACACTTGGATGCAATCCTTGGGACCTTTAACACTTGAAAACAAGTGTTTTCATGTTCTAGAGTGTCCCAACTAAATTTATTAGTTACATTTTGGTTAATTAGTTATATATATGTTCATTATATGATAACTAGGCTCGTGCGTGTGCGCAAGTCTTCATTTGTCACCTAGCACCATATCCGACACTTCAATCCAATCCGCTCACCTCATGTGAGTTCATACCCCTTAAACAACGGTTTAAATGTTTTTAAATGATTTTATGGGGGGGGGGGATACAAGTCAAATGCTTATAGTTATTACATCAATCACATGTGATTAATAACTACAAAATTAGTGATTTCTTTATTGTTCAAATTGTTTATCAAATTGTTTTGCTTCAAACTGTTTTACAAGTTCTTATTCTTATTAAATACATTTGCTTAAACTACTGTTTTACTTATTATCAATTGCATGTCTATGTATGTATAGTTATATAGGAAATATTTAAAGGACTTAGGAAGGCTATCCACCCTATTTCCTTTTCGTGCTTGAGATGTGGTCTTGTGGGATATCGGGTACCCGTCCGAAAGTCATTTAAACATTTGTTACATATCATGTGTACATATATAGTCATAAAGAATCTTCCAGTTCATTTGGTACCCTTGCGTATCAAGGGTATACTTCCATGTCATACGTACCAGTTACATCACTAGTAAGTTACCATAGGGGTAGCACAGGAGGATACAAATACTACTACTAGCACAATGAAACATACAATGAGTCAGTTCATTCATGAGTCAGTTCAAGTAGTACTCACAGTACATTACTATGCATGCTAGATAGAGAGAACACACATTACAGCTAGTACACACAGTACATTACTATACATTCTAGATAGAGAGAACACACATTATAGCTAGTACACACAGTACATTACTATACATGCTAGATAGAGAGAACATAGATTACAGATAGTACACACAGTACATCACTATACATGCTAGATAGAGAGAACATACATTACAACTAGCACATGCATAACATTTTAGTACACACAGGCTTGACATAGAAAGATTTCACTTTCAGTTAGCACATTCATTACATGTACATTTATGCAGTTATGTGAACCATTGAGCGGGTCTTGGCACTTCCTGCAACGACCGTTCTTGTATCCCTAATCTCCTTAATTGGGGAGCGTATGAGTTTACGTATAGATCTATGCTGGATTGACTATCGTACACCTTGTTGCTCGCTACAGTGGGACTTGCAAGTCTATGGGTGCCAAATGTCATTTCTTACGGCGTCTTACATCGTTGTTTTACTAGAGTCGGTAGCAGGATTGAAACATCCCAAAATACGACCCAAAAATTTTTGTTTAACAATTACTAAAATACTAAGATAATATCATAAAATAAAACTCATACGTCAATATCTCAAAATAGCAGCAAAGTGTTATGTAGAACTATATCAAAACTGTATCAAATCACATTATGAAAAACTAAAAACATCTCCCAGGACAACTGAAACTGTGGTGTATGCGATGCCATCAACCCGAGCTCTTCCCTTTGCTTGCGGAAGTACCTGAAACCAAAACTGAAACTGTAAGCACGAAGCTTAGTGAGCTCCCCCAAACTACCACATACCACACAATACATATAAACACATACTAGGCCTTGCCCACCGCATCGAACCGAAGTCCAGAAACTGCATCGGACCGAAGTCCGGAACTAACCAG